TTTATGTAATTGTTATGCAAATCAGTTTCTGGATAGTATCCATCACATACTTGCAGACTTCTCAAGTATTCCTAAACCACTTCCAGCTGCATAAAGAATACCTGGATATTTTTTTTGCTAGCATAAGTCATCCAAGTCCCATCTCTGTAATGACATACAGAAGCCTCTTTGTAAAGAAGCCTGATTGCCTTTTGCTCCATCAACACAATGGTGCTTCCAAGAGCTGTTACAGATCAAAGTGAAACCTGATAATGTAAGGCTGGCAGCATTTTGTAAACATTCTCTGGACCATTTTTATTAGTCTCCTGAAGGGCTATTTTTAAAAGTCATGGAATGGTTTGTTTCTTGCACTGAATTATTACACTCCACAAGAAATATACAGCAAGCACATGTTAACTTCTGGATATCACAACAGTTGTTCAGGAAAATACATAGGATTTTGTGAGCTGCCAAATGGAAATGGTTGACTATAATTGTAATCTCTTAAAGGGGAAGACTGAATTGTACAGTAAATATTTGGAAGTCCAGGGAGTTACATGAAATCCTGTGGGTTGGTGGAAAGAAGGGAGAGAGAATATAACTTTATCTTGTCTTTTTAAACCAACCCATCAGGTAATAGGAATGTAACTGGATAAGTTCATCTCTTATTTTGTAAGTCAACCAAGTGCTAAGAAATTAAAAAATAAGACTCCAGGGCATGCTGATAAGTTCCACTGGTGTTTCACCACTCCTCTCTTTTGTCCACCCTTGTCAACCAATTGGGATTCTTCCAAGTATGATGTTCCCTTGAATGAGGTTTTACTAAAACATATTTTTTATTTCATTCAGCATTACTTTTGCAGTTATGTTCGTAGCCATTCATCTTCAGTTGTTCTTAAGTATTCTTGTAACCCTTCCATGATTGCACATTATATGATTTCTGGCTGAATATTTCTTTTTCAGAATCCCTCTCCCTTCATTAGGTGCACTGTGATTTGTACAGCTAGATTTATTTCACCCCAAAGAAGGATCAGAACAGCTGAAAAAGAAAGTTATAACATCCTTGAGGAAAAGTTCAGCTTTTAGTAAGATTAGAATAAAGAATATATTTCAAATTTTTCTTCAATCCCCAGTGCATTTGCTTTTTACTCTGTAAATCATCTTCGTTTGGAATTCATAGAAGCTTTTTCTCTTATAGATCATTTTAGTTCAAATGATCTGAACACTGCTTCGAAAGAATATTTTGTCCCTTTATATGCCATTCTGTATATATACAGTCTGGATACAGAGCATTTCCCCATGGTGCTGTTGTAGTGAGATTCTAAACATACCTCCATATATTCAACGTACTAAATGCACATTAATGTTCTTGGAATAACTTTGTAAGGGTAAGCTTATATCAAGCTACCTATGACATTTTTTAGCTGCATTAGTGAAACGTGAAGTGGTTATAGGATCTCTTGAAATCTTACAGAATAATATAAGATACAACATTCAAACCTTCTGGAACACTTCAGGGTATGCTGGGATGCCAGTATGAGGTCATGCGGTGTAAATATTCAGGATAACAGAAATGTGCTGGGTGGCCCTGTGGATCAACAGTAGTAAGTTAAGTCTGGTGGTGCAGTGGTTAAACTGCTGTACTACAGCCAAAACTGTGCTCATGACCCAGGTTCAATCCCAGGTAGTCAGCTCAAGGCTGACTCAACCTTCAGTTCTTCTGAGGTCAGTAAAATTAGTACCCAGCTTGCGGGGAGGGGGGGACAATGTGTAGCCTGCATAATTAACCTATAAGCCACCCAGAGAGTGCTGTAAGCACTATGGGGCAGTCTATAATCAGCATGCTTTGCTATGCCTTGGTGATGGGAGACCTACTGAGATCCTTAGCTTTTATAGCTCACTCAGTTTTGTGTTCTCTTGAAATAGAACTGGACCTGGATTTCTATCCTAGTTAAGCAGAACTCCTGATTAGTTTTTACTACAGTATATTTAGTGCAATCGGGGAAATAAACTTCAGAGAGAGGAGATGCATATACATGGGAAAAATAGTGTGGTTGCATTGTGTGGAAAAGAATTCTGAGTATGTTTTCAAGTCCTCAAAGTGAAAAGTTTTAGAATTAAAAGTGAACTGTGGCTTTAAGGAAAGTATTGTTATTTTGGACTCTTGGAGTACTTTTTTAAAGTTTAAGATTAGACACAATTCTGACATGGAAACCAGTATCAAAATGAGTTCAAAACACTTTCAGTTTTTACCTTGACCTACAATGGTTATTTACACCCAGACAATGTAGTTGCTGACCTTGAATGATATGTGAACAGTCTGATTACACTAGGTGTTATATACATATCTGGTGAAATGTGAAGGAACTGTGTGCACTGATTGGTCACCTCTTTACACATCATCTCTTTTGTTGCTTGTGTACTACCTCCTCTTGTTCTTTTTTCTGTTATTATTGACTATCTTTGTCTAAGCTTCTTCTACTCCATCTTCTACATCTCATGTCTTGCTGTTTTGTTTCTCTTTCACTTGATATACACATCCTTATTCTCCTCCCTTCTCCTTTCAGCAAACTTAAGCAAAAGCCTGCCATTGGCTTTTTGGAAACCTGTGGGTTTTTATGACAGTTGTGTGTTTAGCCTTTATAGATGACTGACAGTTTACTTCTTCACAAAGTATCTTCTATACCTACACATTTCAGGGCTTCTCCAAGCATATCAATTCCTCCCCTATATATATATGGTACACTTTGAGCTAAATAACTATTGGTACCCATGCCTAAAGATCAGAAATAAGTGGACTACCGGTCAGACTTAATATTAGGCTGCTTCCTGTGGTCCATTTCAGATTAATTAATCAGAGATTGCACACATCATTTTGGGGGTTACCAGAATGCTTCCGCTGGCATGGCAGTTGGCCATTCCAGCCAGAGGATTCTTAGGGTTGTAGTTCAAAGGAGTAACTCTTCCAAACTTTCCTCTTAACTATGCTTAAGAGAAATTTTTGCAACTCTGTACTGGGTCTATGACAATGCGTGTGGAGCTGATGTCTGTGTGGCTTTGCACTGACATATGTACTATCCTCCATCATGGCACCTTAATAACACTTGTGTTGGGGCCTGAGATGTCTCCAGTGCTATCAAATTCATTTAAAACTTTGAGCATGCATTTGTATGTCCCCCCCCCTTGGGGAAAAAAACTGATGGTCATTATTGTTTGTAACATAAGTCTTTATTTTTAATGAGGAATAACTTAATATATTATGAAATTATTCTTGGCATGGTAATTACATTTGGAAGATTTATTTTAAGGAAACAGACCCTTTCTTTTAATTTCTAAAGAGACTAATAAGCAAATCCATCTGCTTTTCCTTCCCGTAGTACATATTTGACACAGGTGCCTCTAGGTTGCACCCAGGGTAGAGTTCTGAAGTTATTGAAGTTCTTTTTAAGCAGAGGTTTGAAAATCCAGTTCCATGAAACAGCTGTCTGTTGTAGGACCTAAGTGGTTTTTTTAATCTTTCATCTTTTTAAAATATTAAGTTACTTTAGGAAAATAAGCCATAAGCGTTACAAATTAAGTATGTTGAAATTCAATATTCACAATTTCAGTTCCAAATATGAAAAGCATATTTGGTAGTGGGGGAAGAGAACCGCTGTTCTTCGGATCCAATACCTTGCATTTGCTGTTCAAAGTGTTGGAAGGAGGCTTAATTACAATTTTTAATTGTAGTAAAATGTAAGAGTTTTTAGGCATTGTTTATTTCTATTAAAATGAATATATGCAATGAAAAGAACAACGCATTCACGATGAGATGTTGGAAATGTGAGCTGTAAGACTATACGTAACATGTTTTTTTAAATAACTGCACATTACATATAGAGAACAATTTTTGCTCCTCTGCCTGGTTGCCTATTTTGGGTTGAACTCTCAGTTGAAACATCAGATGTGCAGTTTGGAGGTGACCTGAGATCCATTATGGTTCCCCGGGGCTGAAGTGGCTAGATGTAACGCAGCCCTGTCTGAGCTATCTCTGGGGCTGGTTGATAAGATCATGTGACATGTATGTTTTGTCAGTATATTTGGCTTCCATTCTACTTCCTTGGCCAGTTCAAAGTGCCCCTTCTGATATATAAAGTTCTCAACAGCTTGAGACAGAATATATCAGGCAGCCTCTTCTCCCACATGTAGTTGAATGGACCTTCTGTGATAGCCTTGCTTAAAGGAATTAGGTGGGTGGTTATAGGTGAGAGTGCCTTCTCTCAGTTGTAATGCCATGTTCCTGGAATTATGTACAGTAGGAGACTTGTCTGGAACCTACACCTATACCTTTTCTTTTAGGTATTATATGTTATTTTTATTTTATTTTTATGGATGTTTTAATATGGGCACTTCTTTGCGTACAGCCTTTTTATTGCATTATATCTTACATATATCTTATTTTAGCATTTTGTAATTACTTTTGTTATTGTTTAGTAATTAATAAAACTATAATTAATTACCTTTAATAAGCAAATGCTGGGAATTTATATTCAGTGGAAATATTAAGGTAATAAACAATGGCCCATTTCAGATGAATTATATAGGTAAGCAAAAGCAAGCTTTGTTTTTCAATATAGACCTACATTGGAATTTTCCATACACAACTTTTCAACAACAACAAAAAGGCTAAATCCTAGCTAGACTGGACCTGCTGAATGAATGGGACTTGCCTAGGTCATTCAGTAGCTCTACTTTTCTGAAACTAGCAATTGAATTTAATGCAAAGTTAAACCCTTTGAAGTATTAAAACTGACTGTCAAAAAGTGCAAATATTCAAAAGCAAAAAAAGAGTTTGTTTGTTAAACTACTTATTTTTGCATGTTTGGGTGGAACAATTATGTAGGGCATTTTTTGAGCTAAAGTTCAAGGCTTGAGCCTTTCCAGTCTGAGAGTGCTTTGTTTCTGTAAAGGATAAAGCTACAGATGCATCTTAGGAACACACATCTGACTTCATTGACCTTTTTCCCCCATTTGTATATTAGGTATAATTAATGGATCATCATTAATACTTGACATCAGTGATTTCCTTATTAAGACAAGTCTTCAGGAAAAAAGCAGAACACTGGTTGGACCTGTTTGCTGTTGTATTACTGTAGAAGCCAAATGGTGTAAACACAGTGGGAATCCTGGCCTGGAGTTGTCAGTTCCAAAAGTACACCTTGATGTAAGAGGTGGACTGATGCAGGTCAGTAATACCTAATTGAAACTCTTGGGGCAAGAGGTGCCTGGGCAATTTTAATTTTGCAGCATGAAAACATGTATTCCATCCGAGGACAACCATATCTATTTTCATTTTGATATGTGGAACTGACATACAGCTATGGCTGTCCCTTACTAGCTATTAGCAAAACCTTCTTCTTCATGCCTGTACTGTGCTGCACTTGTGTGGTCCAGTCTTGTAGCTCCAATAAATAAACACTGACCTTATAGACAGCATTGAAATATCCATGGATAATCGCATCACAGTGTGATCTGTGACAAGTTTTTTTGCACAGTAACCTTCAGTAACGTGGGGGAGGGGAATAAAAGAATACTTGGTTCCATGACAGATGTCTGGATCCCTTTAACTATCCATTTATGGATCTAGATATAGATCAATCCATTGGAAGCATGTTCTTTATGGCAGTTTTCTCATCTCTTGGGTATCACAAGCCTAGGTCCAGGCTCTCCCATGCAAAGCCAAGGGCTAGAAGCAGCTGCAGATGGACTGGGGGAATGGTTTAATGATTTAAAAAGGCAACTTACAGAAGCAGCTCTTCCACTCATCTGAAGAGTCTTTAGGCTGTAGTATTTGATTACACTGTGCAGGTTACAGGCTCTTTCAGCCTCCAGAGGGAAAGGACAGAAGGGACCGCAGAGAAGTGGGAGCTAATTGGTTTTAAAGATGTGAACCCCAAAAAGCAGTACTTTGTCATCATGTGATTTCTAGAGGGCTCACAGGTGTGCATGCAAATATGTGGAACTTGCTTTGTTGCTGTGTAGCTGAGAATCTGTTGTGGGAGAGAGGAGGAAGAAGAGAATCTTGGGGACCAGCCAGAGACTGGGAAATTATTTTTTAGAGGTTATTACTTATAATTAAAAGGTACAGCATTGTAGTTACTTACTGTTCCAGTTGCAGAATTTTTTAAAGTAACTTTTTGCATTCATTAAAACAGTGGTTCTTAACCTTTGTTACCTGGATGCTTTTGAACTGCAACTCCCAGAAACCCCAGTCAGGACAGCTGGTGGTGAAGGCTTCTGGGAGTTGCAGTCCAAAACTCCTGAGTAACCCAAGGTTAAGAACCACTGCATTAAAATACCAAAAAATAGTCTGTTACAATACATGCTACAAGCTGCTGGCCTTTTTTCATTCGTATATTGGAAGATTTCTGTGTCATATCTGACTAAAATCCCACTGAACTTGTCAACAGTGATGCAGTCTGTTCCCACTTTTTATTTCTTCCCTGGGAGCTGGGTTTTAAGGTATATTCCACCCCCATGAAGACCATCTCCATCTTTTTTCACTTGACCTGTGAGGAGACGACAAAAGCCAAGAATCATGTGTTTTCCCTTTTCTATTGCTGAGGAACTTTTTTTTTTCTTTTTCTTCTTTTCCTCCCTTGATTTAATGAGGTTTGGTCTGAACATGGTCACAGCTAAGAAATTGTGCTGCAGTTGCTTTGTGTTCAGGCATTTTGTTACTACAAGTAGGTGATGTCTCTTTCAGTATTTCAAGGCCAGAGTCTTCTAAAACATTCAAAATGGCATTAACTTGTTTGTCTGTAAAATTCTGAAAGTAAACTTGGTAATAACTAAACTAACTTTGTGAAGGCTAAACATAAAATTCTTAAATGTTTTTCAAGATATTTACTTTTCTCTTTGTAAGGTTTTTTGGGGACAAGAGCACTTGAACTGCTTAGTTCTTCTGCATGGACTTCTGCAGAGTTACCTTGTACAGGAAGACAGGATGGAGGGGCAGAACACTGCTCAGAGATACCCAGTACAGATTCCTACAGATGGGAACCAGGATACTAAAACAGAGCACACTTCAGACGATTTGCGAACAGGCTTCTTCCAGTACATACAGGACACAGGTATGAAAATGTATTTAAAATGTTTTCCAGTTTTGTCAGTAGTAGCATTTTAAATGCCACTTTCCTTCAACAGATATTTTTTTCAGCAGCATAGAGTCATCTTAGACAAATAGCTTTTTGATGTGTTTCTTTTTCTGTTTTAGTATGACCATTTAAAACCTACGATGATAACTTTTTTATTTTCCCTCCTTTTGAACCAAAAGGATTTGTTTTTAACTGCCTTGGTCTCATAAAACAGCATGCTCCTGTTTTAGGAATTATGTAAGCCATTACAGCTTTCCCCTTTAATTTGATAGAAGCACAGAAACTACCAGGTGCCTATGAAGTTGTGTTTTACAATGAAACAGAGGATAACCCAGGAATGATGTTGTGGAGATATCCAGAACCCAGAGTACTTACCCTTGTGCGAATCACTCCAGTTCCTTTTAATACCACTGAAGATCCAGATATTAGCACTGCAGACCTTGGAGATGTCCTTCAGGTAAGTAGTATTGTTCTTATCTTAATCTGAAAAAAAATCTTTTGAAATGCAATTTTTAAAAACTTAATTTTAGAGTAATGCTTTAAACACATCTTTAGATTAAAACAGAGATCATATGATGTGAAACTGATGTATCTCTGTTTCTTGGTTTCCATAAACCTGAAAGAAAGAGTAACAAGAAGTACGGCCTCTGAGGACATAATGCCATTCACGATGAACTGGTCAGAATTTACTCTGGGGATTCCAGACTTCCCAATCATACATCTTGGTCTACTCCTCACTCATGCATATATCTTCCTGTGGCCATTCTAGACCAGTGGTTCTTACTCAGGTGTTTTTGAATTGCAACTCCCAGAAACCTCAGCCAGCAGAGCTGATGGTGAAGGCTTCTGGGAGTTGCAGTCCAAAAACATCTGAGTAACAAAGGTTAAGAACCAGTGTTCTAGACCATAAATAATAATCCAGTATCTGTAATTTGGTGGGCAGCCAATGATGGTATAACAAAGTTATGTTACGTCATAATGCAGCAAGTAGAGAACTTCATTGATGTAACAAGCAACATTTTCTAGTTACTACTTGTGTAATCAAACACAGTTCAGAAGCCACTTCAGGGCTGTCTGTTTTACACTAAATGATCTGCAAGCACAGAGTTGCTATCATGAGTATATAACCATTAGAAACCTGTAACAAAATGTTGCAGTGTGTCTAAAACCCTGAAGAGGATTGTACCTTTTCACAGTTTCAGGATCTGTTTTGCATTCATATGGTTTTGTGTTCAATCCCTACAACTCCGTAGACTCAAAAATATCAATAAATAAATAAAAAAAATCCATTCTGAAATCCTGGAGAGCAATTTCCAGTTCCTTTTGACAGTACAGGACTAAGTGTGCCTGTGGTCTGACTCAGTATAAGATAGCTTTAAAGACTCAAGTGGAAGCCTTTTAGAGTTGTTTGCAGCTCACAAGGTAGGGGAGAGAGGAAATGACACTTACCAATCTGCCCCCCCCCAAACTCTTCTGCTGTACTGTACAGCTATACGATTCAGACTGGGGGCTGACTTGACAACTTTGGGTCTGAATGCTGTATTGCTATAGAAGGTGGGTAAGTACTGTAGAGCAGTGGTCCCCAACCTCACTTACTAATCTGCCCCCCCAACTCTTCTGCTGTACCGTACAGCTAAACGATTCAGACTGGGGGCTGACTTGACAACTTTGGGTCTGAATGCTGTATTGCTATAAAAGGTGGGTAAGTACTGTAGAGTGTACGTAGAATGGAAATATTTGAATCTTTCCTCCTGAAATTTCCTATCTAGCGCAGGGAGTGGAGTTTTTCAGCATCCTGACATATATCTGGCCAACTTTAGTGCCCACCTCCAGGATGCTGTTGGCCTATAAATCCAAACATGGCGCCCAGAGATAGCCTGTGGCCTTTGCAGAACTCCCAGATATCCTTTGTGCCATTTCCTCAAAAGTCAGCCAGCTAGAGAGAAAGTTTGTGAGAACACATCCAGACATAGGAGGGCAACTGGGAAAGGAAAAGAAGAATCATAGGTTAGCTGTGTAAGAAATATAATATGAACTGTGTGAGTGTAAAATCAGTTAAGCCCTATTAAGGCATTAGTAAATTTTGCACACTTGCCATGGGCAGTGGAAAATCCTCTAGCCCTTATCACCCTTTGTTTTAGTTTTTTGTTTCATTTTCTAGTGCCTGTGGAAAGTGACACATGTGAAAAGAAGTTCCGCAGTCTGTGGGGGCCAGCCACATGAGTCAGGATGCTGATATTCTTTGTGTTTAAAGTCACATGGAGAGTCTGCACCATCTGTCCTCTTCAGATTCCTTGCACTCCATGTGTAGGGGAACAGCAAAACTGGAAAGAGAGGGGCAGTGGCTAGTATGCTTGCCTACAGCATGTATATACAACTTGCTAATAACTGAATCCATAGATAATCTGGCAGTATCAGAAGGTTTCCCATCTCTGCCGACATACCAGCTGACATCCCTTGTCAGTACCCTTTGACACTACATCCAGTGCTGTCCCAAAGCCTTCCCTGGTCCTTGGGGAAACTTTCAGAGATATGTGAGCTAAGAAAGCCATGTAGGATCTTTGGCTCCAAGCCAATATCATATATATTTATTAATAGAATCCATTAAAAATTATATTATTTCATCCCATTTGAAATGACTGTTAGAGCACATTCCTTTGCTTTTCCCCCTGGAATATACTCTAAGGATTTTAAGGAAGAATCTTGTCTTATTTGGTTGTGGTATTTTGTAATTTGGGTTTTTTGTGCTGGTGTAGTGGTCCATTGTATGATACGCTGAATAGTTTACAAGCTTGCCCAGAGAGTTATTATTGGATGGCTCTTTCTGGAAATTTGGAAAGTTTCCCAGCTGTTCATGCAACAAGCCACTGCACAAGCCGAAGAAACTAACAAGATTCTGGCCTTAATATTTTTTTTTCAACACAATGTAAATGTATAAATTGGACAATTTTTAACACTTTGCAACTACTTAAAATAGGAACTGAAAACACTGTGGGCTTTGGAGTGGTTGGCTTGAGCTTGGCTTTAGATTTACTTCAAGTCTCACGTTTAAGCAATATTTGATGTGACAGTCAACAGGAAAATAATTGTCATCAACATTAAAGGCATTCATATTTCCTTTTAACAAAGAATACCTCAGTTTTGGCTAACTCTGTTTCCTTTTTGTTTTGTATCCTGCATTAAGACTGCAGTATTGAGCTGGCATTTGAGAGTCTGGGAAAGGGATTTTTGGAAACCACAAATTTTACTGATGGTTGACTCATTTCTCACATTTCAGATGCAAGCCTTTTGGAAACCCAAATAATTTGGGTATGACAAGGTAGTGATTTAAGTTCGTAACATTAGCAAAGAAAGCCATAAACATTCTGCCATGCTTATCAACAGTAAGGATTAACACTTTGCCTGTTTTAAAAGTCTGCAGTTATTCTAAACTGGTGGTCACTTAACTGGATAAGTATTTAACAATATGTGTTGTATTTCTCCATTGCTGTAATAGGAAGAATTTAAAGATTTTCTTATACTGCCAGAATAATAGTGTCTTTTAGGCCCTAAATAATACTTTTGCTATACAGAGTCAGTGCGATGTAGTGAACAGAGTGACAACTAGGCCTCAGAGGACTGCAGTTCAAATGCTACTTGGCCATAGAAATTCACTGAGGAGTGAGTGACACTGATAAAGGTGTCTCACATACCTTGGAAACTCTGTTAGGGTCACTATAAATTGAATGCAACTTGACAGTACATAACAGAATACACATTTCTAACATCAAATGTTTAAATATTAAGAATTTGGCACAGATGCATGATTGTGCATGCATGGACCTGGATATAGGCAGTGTTGTGTGTGCTGAAGCTCCCATATCTGCAGGCAGTCTACATTGGAATATATGTTTGTGATAGTTAGAACTTAGTACATATTTTATGAAAATGAAACTCATGTTATATTATAAAATCTAACATTTTAATTTGAAGTGTTAAAAATTATGATACAGTATGAAGTTACTGTCTCTTTCCTCTAAAGTTGCTTCAGAATTGCATAAAAGGAAAAATGTGCATGCAGAAAAGTTAAATAGTAAGAGATGGGAGATTTGGAGACCACTCTCCACTATTTCTTCTACTTTGGTTTCAAACCACAATTTGGTATGAATTTAAGCGGGAATAGGAGATTTGATTTAACATTAAGAAAGCAAGTAGTGTTCCAAGAATACTGCATTCATTTCCAAGGCTTTTTCTTGATTTCCTAAACATGATGAAAAGGGAACCAGCATTACATTTATGTTGTTATTGCACATTTGGTTGTGGTATTCTGTAATTTATAGGATGTTTTCTGCTCATGAATATATTCTTTTAAAAATAGTGTTTGAATAGCTCACCATAAAATGGAGAATTAATTATACTGAGAATTAATGCAGATTGTATACAGTGGTGCCTCGCTTGACAATGTTAATTCGTTCCAACGAAATCGCTGTAGAGCAAAATCGTCGTCAAACAAAATAAAAAAAACAATTGAAACGCATTGAAAACCATTCAATGCGTTCCAATGGGCGAAATACCTGCTCATCTAGCAAAGACCCTCCATACGGTGGCCATTTTCTGATGCCTGTAATGCAAGGAATCCATCCCTAACACAGCGGGGAGCCATTTTCTACAGCCGGCGGCCATTTTGAAACCCGATGATCAGCTGTTTGCTGATCGGTGTAAAGTGAAAAATCGGTTCCCAAAACAGGGAACTGATCAACATTACACGAAATTCCCCCATCTAAACATTGTTTTGTGATCGCAAAAGCGATAGCAAAAACTTCAACGTTAAGCAGATTCGCCGTCAAGCAGGGTAATCGTCCAGCGGGGCACCACTGTATATTGCTTTGGCTGAAGGTTCCTGAACCAAAGAGGCAGTGGGAAAACGTGGTTCAATAAAGCTCAATTGGAAAGTACATTATTTGCATATTCAGAGTCCCAGATTGAGACTCCAGTGTCTCTAGTGAAAACAGGAGGTGGACAAAATAAGGCCTGTGGACTAGAGATGGGGGTATTTGTATGTGAATATACCCACGCAGGTGGCGTTAACGAGGGTCCAGCCCCATGGGGCCGGATGGTCCACTCACCTATGAAACGCGGAGAGCACGATTCTTCAAATGGCTCCGCAGCGCATGATCTGTTTGGCATTCCTGGTGGGAGGCGGGAGAACAAGCCTTGCTGCAAGGTCAAAGAGTGGCGAGCAGATTGCATGTTGAGGAGCCATTCTTAGAATTGCACCATCCACATCCATGGTGGATCAGTGAGTGGACGTCCACTCACCTTTGAGACGCGGACAGCATGATTCTACAAATGGCTCCGCAGCGCATGATCTTCTTGGCATTCCTGGTAGGAGGCGGGAGAACAAGCCTTGCTGCAAGGTCAAAGAGTGGCGAGCAGATTGCATGTTGAGGAGCCATTCTTAGAATTGCACCATCCACA